GGGGGGGCAGGGCCCAAGATATCATTACATATCTGTGTGTGTACAACTTCCGTTGCGGGTCTCCGTCAAAATCTTGATAGGGCTTGCAAGTTTAGGAGGGGGAACCTGTGAAAATGCATGAAATGGGTTGAGGGCGCCAGTAAGACCTATCGCAGTTTTGTTAAGATCATCAGAAACAACCCTTTGAGGACTTGACATCATCAGCTTCAGTAGATCAATGATGATCAATGATCAATGTAGTTTGTGCAGCCCCAGAACGTACCGCGCGTCGACTGAAAAGCGCACATGCGAATCCAGAAAGGCCGGCTTAGCCGGATGAATCTTCGTGGCTGCCAGAGGGGAGTTAAAGGCATCTGGCCAAAAATACAAATCCAAAGAACCACTTCGTTGCGAACTTGCACCCTCGGAATTACGAGAACAAATGGCTTGCAGTATAAACTTGGAGCAAGGCCAAAAGGAACCGTTCTCCATCCACTTAGTTTCGCCCACTCTGGCCACTTAGTTACTTAGTTCCTCAACCATGACAACTCCCCTTGACAGCGATTTCGGTCTATAAAAGGATCAAGTCCTGGCAGGTCTAGGGACTTGACACGAAAGATTTCGCCGATTCCACACTTCGATGAAGCAAAACAGGCCGACCCAACCTCAGCTCCTATGAGTATGGGGCGGTCAGGATTCGGAGCAATCCTGTGATCTTTCCTACAAATCCACGATCCGAAAGCTTCCAGATCTGCTCATGAACAAAGCTACAAAATGTGGAATCCGAAATATGATATTCTTAGAAAATGACCTTGGTTGCTAACATCTAGCAGTCCAAAAAAGAAAGCACCACCATGCGGCAAGCCAACAGATCTTGGACTTGGCCACAGGAGCTCACCTGTCACAGTGCACCACCAGTTCACTCTTAGAGTTCTGTCAAAAAGGCGCTTGCATCAGCCGTACCTTCAGCGCGCAGCAGTGACAAAACGGGACCCCAGGTGAAGAGAAAGGAAGTTTGGCGAAGAGAAAGGAAGTGTTGTTTTGCATATGCTAAGGGCTGTACTAAAGCGCGGGGCGGCTTGTAGCGCGAAAGCTGGCCAAAGAACGCTCCACTCTTGATGGAAGGTGACAGAGTCAGGAAACCGGGTCAGGAAAACACTTGGGCAGAGTCAGGCATCCTCAAGTCAGGGAAACCGAGTACAGTACCCAAACTCGAGTGGCAGAGTTAAGAAAACGATGAGAGAGTCAAAAGTGTTGGAAGGTCTCTGCCGTGGAAGTACAAGGCAAAGCCGCGACTCAGGAAACCCGAGTGGAAAAACTTGGGGCTAGACGACCGCAGGGCTTGGAAGCTACTAGGTGGAGGCCACCGCTATGAGTCGGAGAGAAGGGTGCTGAGTCAAGAAACCTGGATGGCGAACGAGGGAGGAAACTTTGGATAGAAACGTGCGGGAGGGGGAGGCGAGGAATGTCTAAAAAATATGAAATACGAGTCAGGAAAACATTGCGAGTGGCAAACGCCCCCAAAAAAAAAGATTTCGGATGATTTTGGTGGGGTTGCTTCCTCAAAGGATGCAGAACAGGTTTCAGTCCTGAGAGAAGGACGGGTTTCTGGAACTTGGGAAGAATGAAGGCCCGATAGCCCGCAAAGCGGACACGCTTGAAAGTTTGCATCTCTGTATATACTCCGTTCTGAAAATAGATGGTTTAAAAAAAGCGCCATCTACGAGCGCCAGAGTACCACAGTAGAATTGCGCCATCAGTAGGCATCCTGACAGCATAAAAAGGGCGAGATTTAAGCTAAAAAACTTCGTACCCCTGACGGCACGCTCCATCTATATACTCCAGTTAGAAAGTAGAACTACAATAGCTGAATCTCTTGCGCAGAGAAAGAAAGAGAAAGAGAAAGGAAAAGCAGGAGAAATAGTAAAAGACAGAGTAGGATGGGCGCCGATGGGCTTGAGGGGGGTTTGGACTGCTTTGGATGGCTTTGCACTGATTTGTATGGGGTTGAATAGGTGTGGATGGTCTTGAATTGGATGGGGCTGGATAGGCTTCACAGTATGTACAGGGAAGAATAATAATAGAATTGAACACAGAGAGCCAATAGATGGCGCAACGCAGTTCTACTACAGTATTTGTTCAATTTGCTTGACAGTGAGTTGATGTTCATGGAGAGTGTATATATATATAAGTCTTGTAAGTTGGGGCCCTTCCCCGACAACACTTCAAACATTGCAATTGTGTCAAACAAAAAGAACACCTGCTCTTGGAAGCATGTTCTGCACAGTCGGCCAAGTTTGAACAATCCCTAAGAAGCGAAGCCCGCAAGCCAAAGCCAAAGAAACCCTAAAGACGTGAAACCTTCAAGCCAAATAAACCCTAGCCCACTCCAACAAAACCCAAAAGAAGCGAGCCCCGCAAGCCAAACAACCCAAAGAAACCCTAGGCCTCTAAGGAGGCGAAGCCCTAAGCAGAGCCCAAAAAAACAACCAAGCCGTACAGTGAAGGCATAAGCCAAGCCCAAGAAACTATGCTAGTTATCTGAAAATGTATGCATCCTTTTCCTCGTCATCCTTCTCCTCCTTGTCTTCCTTGTGTCCTTGTCCTTCTTGCTCTTGTTCCTGTTCTTGTTATTGTGTTGGTTTCTGGGTTTCCTGACTATGGTGTAAGTTTCTCGACTTCGTCTACAACTCCACAATTGATTCCCCATATCGGACCCAGCAACAAACAGAGAGCAACGGCAAAATAGTTTCTTCAGGTGAGATCAAACAAGTCAAGGTGAGGGACTGAGGGAGGGGTAAGGAACTCTTCGCGCAATCAAATGAAAGAGATTGATTCATATCGATTCGTTTGAGGTGAGACCAAGCGGTTGAAGTAAAGCAGGCGAGTGAGAAATGAAGGGTGGGGGCCACCTCATACCGGCCTATACCGATTACTCAAAACCTTCAGCGGCGCCAACAAAGTACGGCAATGGGAGTTCAGTGCCTAAGACCGGAAAAGCTCAGAACAGCCCGCCCCCTATAGTTATACATACATATATATTATATATATATATATTGCCTTTCAACTCATGCCATGCCATCAACTGAATATCTTTCCACGCCAAATTACAAAAGCCACATCTCAACACGCCTCAGAAGGGTACACAGCCATCCACCATATTCCAAGACTGCATAGCTGCGGAGAAGTTCCACAACGCATGCTTGCAGTGAAAAGCCATCCACAATTTCGCCAAAGCAAGACTCTGCAAAATAAACCTGGGAATCGCTTGCATCGGGCTCTTGCAGCTAGCAGCTAGCACCCCTTCCACTCCCCACCCAGCAGCCAACAACATGGCGGTCACCTGTTTGCGCGAGTGACCTGAATGCTCAAAAGTACAAAAGCTGCTCGAACAAATCCAAAGGAACTGCAAAGCCAAGACTGACCACCCCAATCTCTCCCAAAATGCAAGCTTCTTGTACTCATTCCATGCGTCTGCATCCATTTTCTTCCCACGGTCCTCCACTGACTTGGGTTTGGACACGACAAGCTCAAAGTGCAGTAGTATTCTCTAATGGTAATCTTCCGTCTACTGCAGCTCATGAACAATAGAATTACTGCTGCGCCGACTTCAGATTCATTGAGTGCGTCTGCAAACACACCCGGAGAATCTTCGCCAGTATATGGAACTTTGAGAGCACGCTTACAGTATATCCATTGATCCAGTTGTTCAAACGTTCCGGACCCCTGAATTCTGCTTATGAGTCTTATGAGGAAATATATATAAAGTCATCTGGAGCCCTTTTATACTTGGAATGACTACTTCGGGATGAGAAAACAGCCAGGGGCCAGGGACATGCTGGCTTTATTCGCGTATACACATATAGAATGATACGCCTTTCACTGCCCTGCACCTAGTCTGTTGCTACATTGACATTTTTTTCACTTCTGCAGCGCTGCTCAACTACCATTCACAAGCACGACATGGAAGTTCAACCGTTGGTTCTGTTAGCGTGACCAGAAAACACCCGTGGCGCACCACGTGTTGCACCACGTGCGTCTCGTCGCTACCACGTGGGTCCTTGCGCTCTTTGCTGCGCACTCTTCGGAGGTCCACGAAGTCATTGATAGCACTGATGAAGGCCATCGCTGAACTCATGTGGGCGATGGCTATGGAGATGCAAGCGTTCCAGTGCTCTGAAAACAAACTCATCTGTCGGGAAAGACAGGGACCAAACCCTTTGGTCTTTACACTCCAAGAAATCCGAATCACCACGGGGCCCCTTTCTTCATCCTTCCTTTCATCCTGGTTCAACTACCCAAAGGAAATCGCCAATGGACGCCAATGCTTTCTTTGATACATGACCAAGATTGGCTAACAACAAACCGTCAGCTGCTACAGTTGATCCCGCCTGGCCTGAGAGACCTCGCCCGTGCTCTCTGCATGTTTCTGCTGCATGTGGAACTGTAGCGCGAGGAGACTCGTTTGAACCTGCAGCTTCGCGCAAGTTATCAGCAGGTTGCGGAACAAAATGTCCCAAGTCATTATGCGGACGTCCATCTTGAGAATGTGAAAGAAGTCACGATTCAGGCCCTCTCCAGCGACCAGCTTCCACTGGGCACGCTGGACACTGTATCTCCGCTGGTTCGCCAAGACCATAGGCATAAGGGTAAGGCTTGCCAGCGTCTTCAAGGCGTCAGCATGCCAAATGTGCGCACAACAAAATGGGACAACATAGCCTTTTCGTTCGGCGCCACATGCGTAGGACACATTGATGGGTGTAGGTGAGAAAGGAATAACCCTCAAAAAGTAGATGAACCACTGTAGAGCAAGGCAAGCCCAAGCGAGGCCTCAGTGATGCTTATCATCTGACAGGTTTTCACCTTGTCACATGGACAGTTTCTTCCCTACTAACTTGAGGCCAGGGCAAAAAATTGTCGAAAGCTAGCCGAATCGCACCGGATGTACTATCTACATAGTCGGCAAAGCATGTAGTGTTTACACGTTTCGGGAGAAAGGTTGCTATGTACATACTTTGCGCTAAAGAATGTAAATGTGACATCGGTGACTGGGAAGGGTACATTGGAACAACCCGGGTGCACTCGTTGGCAGGCACGAAGATGCGTGATCAGCAAATTTTGAGGGTAAATTAACAACCCGTTTTTGTATGCCTTGGGTCGGAAAGAGGGGTAAGCATTTCTGACATCACACGGACTGTACATACACTATAGGGCGTCCGTAGTGTAGAGAAGCACTGGTAAAAGGTATGTGGAATAGAGTGTCTTGAGGAATTAGCCGGCTTATGGTTATGGCAAATCTGGAGGGTAAATTTACCCCCCGCTTATGTATGCCTTGAGCCAGAAAGAGGGGTAAGCATTTCTGGCATCACAAGGACTGTGCATACACTAGGGCGTCCATAGTGTAGGATAAGCACTGGTAGAAGGTATAAGGAATAGAGTTTCTTGAGGAAATAGCCGGTGTATGGTTAAAGCAAACCTGGGGGGTAAATTTACCACCCGCTTATGCATGCATTGGGTTAGAAATAGGGGTAAACAACTTGTAACAGTGAAGTACAAGTCCTATGCAGCAAGCAGCAGCTAGCAGCAGCAGCAGCAGCAGCAGCAGCAGCCTGCAGCCAGCAGCCAGCAGCAACCACCAACCAGCAGCCAGCCAGCAGCACCACGCAGCAGCAGCGCAGCACCAAGCCGCAGCAGCAGCACCACCAGCAGCAAGCAGCAAGCAGAAAGCAGCAAGCAGCAGCAGCAGCAGCAGCAGCGGCAGCAGCGGCGTCGTCAGCAACAGCAGCAGCAGCAGCACCAAGCCGCAACAAGTAGCAAAGCAGCAGCTACAAAAGCGGCAACCAGCGGCAGCACCAATCAGCAGCAGCAAGCAGCAGAGCGGCAGCAGCAGCACCGTTTACACCAAGCCACCGTTTACACCCAACCAACCACGTTCATACATTCAACCAACCCCCGCTACACGGCGCCACTGGGAGTCGAACCGTGGGGGGAGGGGTTGGCGTGATATATCACGCTAAGGGGGGGGCCAGGCCCCCCGCTTAGTGTGATATATCAAGCTTTAAGGCGCGCAGCTCATCCCACTACCAATTGCTAAAGCAAAGAAGAACTCAGCTAGCACGCTAGCTTTCGTGACAAACCCCAAAAGTTGAGAAAGAAAAGAACAAAAGGAAGGTTTGCTGCAACAAGGAAAGAGATAGTCTAAAGAAACAGATGCATTAATAATTAAACAGAAAAATCATAGATTACCATGGCATTAGGCAAAATGCAAAACAAAGGGAGGGAAAGAAAAAATATAGGAATCTTGAACCCATCGAGCTGAACTGCCAGCCCACCATCAACTTCGCGCGCATATATATACAAATCATATATAATACACTCACACATACGTAGAGATATTTGATTTGTCTTTTGATTGTGTCATTGGCAAGCAAGTAGACGCCTTCAAATGGCATCCTTGCGGGACCCCATATACTCGTGGTATGACAGACTGCAAGACCCAACATCAATTTTGGTCCCAGTATTAAAGCTTTGAATAACGAGAGTGAATCTCAATCCAGGAAAACCGGCGGCGAATCATGAAACAGCAAAGAAGCGTAACGCGACGACGACGACGACAACGACATCTCCACCTGTGGCATACACGAAGGATAGACGATTCAACCCAAGTAGCCGCTTAAATTAGAAACCATCGCCAAACATGAAGTCCTGTAGGAGCTTACTTTGGGTTTGGGCAACATTTGCCAGGCTCCCACCTCAGAAAGAGTGGCCAAGTTCTTTTTTCAAACGGCCCTTCTAAATCTTTCGAATCTCTTTCGAATCCAAGGAGCCGGCAGTAAGCCTCAATTGCGCACCTGGCTGGAACCAAGAAAAGACTGACGCGTTCCAAGCTTTTGCCCAAGCATCCTCCAGTTCTTCATGGCCTCTGCGCAGCAATGACCAATGAGGAATGAAATGCGCCAGTTCATATGCACTCCAAACATGTTTGCTGTAAGACGCCGCCACAAAACTCCCTTTTTGGATTGCCTGAAGAGAATCGAATCGTGCTGTTGATTCAGTGAAACGGATTCCCCCCAACAAAAAGGAGGGAGGGTGTTTTAAATCTGTCGCTTTGTGCCCTGTTTGGAGTGCCTTGATCCAAATACCGTCAAACACATCTGGATACAATCAAACAGTCATGAGGAACGCATGAACCGTTCATATGCACTCCAAACATGTTTGTTGTAAGACGCCGCCGCTAAACCCCCTTTTTGGATTGCCTGAAGAGAATCGCGCTGTTGATTCAGTGAAATGGATTCCCTATTTCAATCATGAACCAACCGCCCAAAGATACCCCCAAAGTTGTGGTGGATTCAGGCAAGCCCAAAAATAGAGTCTGGACGTTCGGGCGCTCGTTCTCTCACAGAGCACAATGAAAAGGGGTCAACGCCAAAGAGTTTGCAACCCATGGTTCACGTGGGAGAGCGTGACGCCCACCATCTGCACGCGGTTCCTGGGGGATACAGGGTCGGATTGACCTACTCAGCCCAGAAATCTTGAGTGAGAAGTGAATACGGGACTCACGTGTGAAACCGGAAGGTCGGGCAGTGGCGTGGTCGCCGCTCCACCGGCTCAATGCGTCTGCTTCCTCCTTTCGAGCACCGGGAATGTGGGAAGTGTCAAGCAAGATGTTGGATCGACTCGCTATCATGGCAATTCGCTCCAAAACTCGGGCAATGGATGGGTGTGCACTAAACAGTTTGTTAGTGGCACTTTCGGCTCCCGTGTTGTCCGAAAAACTCGGAAAACTCAATGCGGGGCGGGCATGTTTCACATGGGATGCGATCATGAAAAAAAAGAAGAATACCCTGGGCTAGTGTTTCCAACATGCAGATTCCTTCTGCAGGTCTGTCAGAGGTTTAAACCCAACCGCTTCAAGGTCGGCAGCAGACAAGCGAAGAGAGAACCATCGAGTGGGACCGTTGGTGGCCCTCCAAAAACCCTCCAATGCCAGCTTCAGCACCCTGCGCAAATGCATCAGCTGCCAACACATCTGTGACACGGGGTCTGGGTCTCATGGACAGCATGGGATTGGTGGCCGCCAATTAGACAACATGTTTGGATAACACACGCTACACTGCTCAGCCTGCGACTGGGGATGCGGGGTTGCGAACGCGCATCCAAATCCTATGATCTGACACTGCTTGGAGTTCCCTCAGTGCGCTCACTTGGGCCAGGAAGTGCAAATCCTCAGAGCAACTGCGACCAATTTGCAGGGGCACAGCTATACAAAGCGGCTGTTCCGTTAAAGAGGTCGGCGTACAACCAGTGCATGAAAGAGGAAACACAGCTGCGCACCACGTGTTTAGGCCTATGAAACGCTCCAATGTTTTTCTTGGAAACTTTGCGACGTCTTAAAAGATCTTCAATCAACTGCAACAGGTTCTTACGTTTGTCCGGACGCCAATCCTGCCGAAAAATCAAAGCGCCAACCAATCCAAACAACCTTGGGCCCTAGAGTGCATTTCCGCCAACTGATGGGGATTTTCCAGATCAAACAAGTCATGCAAATTATGACCGCAGAAATCGGCAGGATGTCTGCATTTTGGGTGAGCAAGAAGTCATCCACAAACAAAAACATGGCGTGAGATGCGAAGACGATTTCATGAAACAAGCGCAGTAGAAAGCTACCAACTCGGCCCCACCAACGCTGGCCGAACACAGCTCCAAAGGGGCAAAAAGAAAAGGCGGTTCTGGAAGGTGAAGCCAACAAGTCCGTGTTCTGAGGGGTGGATACGCACATCGAGACTGAAACTGGATTGGGGGCGAGATGTGTTGCGCAAGGGAAAGGATTGTACCACATCCTGCGCAGACGGCATGGACGCTTTTTCTGGAACACGGCAACTTTGATTGGTTCCAGACGACGGAACCGTGTGCATGGTGACCTTGGGCGGCTCGGCTGTGGTCAGGGGCAGAAAGTTGGCAGCAAAGCTCAAGAGTGTACTCTTGAAGTGTGAAGATGGATACATCTACAAGATCTGTCCAAGATTCTGGGGCATTTTCATACATGAAGGCTCTTAGCAAGAACAAAGTCCGTTGGTAGGACATGGGGCCAATTATGCAGGAATGGGAGTCAAGTTCCATGAACGCGAAATCTGGGGCGTCTGTGTTCAAGCATGTCATTGGCACGCGTGATGGACCAGATCTGGTCAAGCATGGCTAACCAATGCCACAACCAACTGTGAGTGTGATCCTGTGCACAAAAACCTGTCCACATAAGGCCAAAAGGTGTACCACGTCTGGAGACTTTTGTCCTGTAGCTCGTTCGCAAGGCCTGGGGATCCGCAGCGAATGAGGACCAGACTATGTTCTGAGCACATAAAACCTGAGGCTGGACCAAATGCAGAATAAGAAGGCTCCGTTGATTACAAGATGTTGCAAAGAACCTTCGGCCTGAACGACATCTGATTCACATGCAATCAGAAAAAACAACTGCGATGGGACGCTCTCTTTGAACTGGTGTTCGGAATAAGTCCAACAAGAGATGATTGGATTATATAGATCCGGAAAAGAGAATTCTGTGAGTTTGCACAACCATCTCAAAGCTTTGATGAGGTTCAGCATGTTGAAATGGTGATCCAGGTCAGCATCCTCCATATGGGACAAATGCAAAAAAAGCATGACATCAATGAAATCGGTCAGTGAAAGGCTTGAAATTGTTTTACCTAGATCCTGCGCTGCGGTGAGGAAAGACAGGCAGAGAGCGCAGAACCGAAGAATGGTGGCTTCGGCAAAACGAGACAAAAGTTTTTTGCTCCATAGAGCGTGGTTTGACGGATAATTTGCAATGTTGCACTATGGGCAAAATCAAAAATGAGCTAGGCTTTCCAACACAAAGTGACTTTTCTCGTGCCTGACTGTCCACTTTGGATTGAAGCACGGTGCCGTGAGATTCTGGCGGATGCATGGCAGCGACCGGAGGCCTGAGCGCACGGCGGTGTGGAGGGGGCGGAGGCGGGGAAAAATTGGATGGAGTGAAAATGGGTCGCAGCGAAGGAACAAGAACTCTGTCGCGCCGGCAAAGTCAGAGGGTTGTCATGAATTCGTGAAACTTGGGGCCTAATGAGGCTGATAGTTCTTTTACCGTCGATTCGGTGAGTTGCTAGTTCACGGCTATGTGTCGGAGTGCAAGCTTTAGGCACATGAGATGTATATAATCAGCACTGGATGTGAATCCGACTGTTTACGGTATCGTTTAATGATGCACTGAGGTCCCGGGAGTTCCATCGCCCAGAAGCGAAACAGAATCGAACATGGATGCTTTTGAAGCTAGAAACAGGGTGCCAAAGTGACATGAGCATGGAAGCGTTTCAAACTTGAAACCGATGCAACCAAAATAAGAAAAATACTCGAGCAGTGAAAGCAAAGCAAAGTTGTGAGAACAACTTAGCACAAAAGACAGTGTTGTAAATTTGTTTTAAATCTGTCGCTTTGTGCTCTGTTTGGAGTGCCTTGAGCCAAAATGGCTACGGACACATTTGGATACAATCAAACAGTCATGAGGAACACATGAACCACGCAATCCCTTGTAAGAGGCATTCGTAAGAGCTCTGCACACCCAATCGTCACCCATCTTGACACCAAAAATGGACTAGCAAGCGACGCTACTTTCACCTCTACCGTATTCAGGCAGTGTCTGTGAGACAGGGAACGCCCTCCCCACGCCCTCCCTATTCCTGCCTAGGTAATCATGAGAACGCCAAGCTTTCGCCAGCGCCAAGCCTTGTGCCCAAACATCCATCCGATAGATGAAGCCAGCGAGCAACATGCACGGCAGCCAAAGGCGAAATGACAGTGGCCAACTGACAACATAGTAGGTCTTGGTCCACGCGAGCATAGGGACAACAATATAAGAAAAACATCTCCACTCCTCAGAAACGAGCAACTGCAATGTCTTCTTCATGTGTCTTCGATTTGAGAGACCTGCAGTGGCTGACTTACAATTACGCTGTGGCATATCAAAGGTTGGAGATCAAAAGTATAAAGAAACATGGCACCTGCTAACCATTGATACAATCAAATCTTTATGGTTAGCCATGCAAGGTGCAGGCGATCTGCAGAGAAGGCAATCTGCAGGTCTACGGGAGTCTACCACGCAGAACTGTTTGAAGTTGATACTTCATTGACATTCATAGACGTATGTTTGCACTTTGAAAGGAAATGTCTTTAGTCTGTCAGAGGGAACGTTTCCCTTTGATTTATCAGGAGATTAGTCTTGCTCAAGCGTGTTGGCTTGATACGTCGCAGCGCGTCGCACGTGGCCAAGGCAAAACTCGAACTTGCAAAAACCATTTGGGCCAATGGCCGCCATGGTTCAAGCTCCTGACATTGGGGGATGGCCATCCTCTCTGGATCCCAATTGTTTGCAAACTTGGGGTCTGTAAAGGCTTGCGAGTGGATGATGAATGGTTTTTATCTGTCTGTCCAGTCAGATTTCTCAGGCAGTCTACATCTACAACTCGCAGCACGGTGTCTGTTCCTCGAGTTTCATTGGAGCCCGGGCTCGATGAAGGTGGTCAATGTGGTCCACACCAGAAAAGGCACCCATAAGAAATAGTTGTACTCCATGTCCGCACTATGGTCCGTACAAAAAGTGAATTGGTAAGCAATCCACGGCAGTGAGAGGGCCACGACGTGTAGAAGGCTCGCCCCCATCAACAACAGAACAGGTGGCCCTGCCACATCAAAGAGCGTCAGCAGATATTGCCCAATGTAGGTCTCGTCAAGGTTTTTCGACATTTTCAATGACCTTGATGGTTGGGGATTTACTACAACAACACCACCAGCAGCAGCAGCAGCTTGCACCAGCGGGATGTGTTGATGACCTTCCAACAGGAATCTTGAATCAAGAAGCACATCGCTAAAGGTGAACTGTTTTCGTGAAACCAAAATAAAGAAGGCTTGCTTCTCTGGATGCATTTGGTGTGGATGCCCTTGCTGCGAAGGGTCTTTGCAAGTAGCCTCTTCAATAAGCCACGGAAACAAATCAACTCCCCCCACTACAAAGAGAAAAGGAGGTATGATAGCTTTAGCTCATACCAGCACAAGCGTAAATATAGCGTTGCCTCTCATGTACTTGAGACCATAACATTTGCACAGCCCCAAATCTTCTTTCTGCCAGGCCACTCATTCCACATCTGAATCTCGTGACGAAGAGTATAAAGCTTAGAATCTGCATCTTTCAATTCAGCTTTCCTAAGCATGTGTTTTTGTGCACTAAGACTTCTTTAACAAGAACCACAAGAAGGAAAGCAAAATGCCTGCCACGTGAAGACCCGCAATTCCACTGGCTCCTCTACAACGACAATCTACTTATATAAGTGGCAGTGGAACGAGCAGCACAGTAGTACCACAGTAGCGGTAGCACAGTAGTGTAGCAGCAGTTTGCCACATGTCGTGGGACAATGACCACTGCTTCTAGGGAAGACGTTGATGGCTCGTTGTCCTGCTTGCATTCTAGCGGCCTCTCGGTGAGATCCAACCAAGTTTGCCTGTACGCGCTATGTCTATGACTGTTCCTTGGATGCCGGGGTTCAAAACATCCAACCACCCGGTAGCCAGTAGCCCGGTAGCCAGTTCTTGTACTGTTCGCAGCTTTGAATCTAGCACACAAGAACTGGAGTCATCCAACGTTTATCCGGAAGATGCGGCAATGAAAACAATCATAAAAAGTGTTGTCTTGGCCAAACCAATTCCTCCACCTGACTGCTGCGCAACTGCGCAACGTCTCTCTAAAAAACACTGCGGCATATAGGAAACTAGGCCAAATTCCCAAGTTACATCACACTGTACTGGCTCAAAAAACAAGCACAATTATGTCCTCCAGGCCGAGTGACGTCTGTATGTTGCGCATCATCAAATCATGTTGCTCGGCTTCCTTCTCTGCAATAGTTCTCGCAAGGTCTGCACAAATACCAACCTGTTCGTCATAGTTTTTGCGTTTTTCCTGCAGCGAACAAATACACTCGAGCAAATTTGTTCGAAACTCTATATGGGTTTCCCGGATTCCCTTTATGCCCGATCCTTTTTCATGCTGCAGAGTGCACGGTCCTTTAATTTGAAGAAGGGCCCCTGGTCCTTTTGCCCGCTGATTCGATCAATGACTTGCTGCGGCACCCCCAACCTGATACCACATAGACTTGGGCAAGTATGATCTCTCAAGTCCCTCAAGCGTTGCGGCAGCCACTCGTAACTCGTCGAACTCTCGATTGTCCTCGGGCCATCAAAGTTTTTTGATTATATAAATCCAGTCAATGCCCTCAGTAGCCAACCCACAATGGGATTAAGCATGGGAACTATGCAACAAGTAAGTTGTCTTGCAATGCCTGTCGCCTAAACCAACAAAAGCCCAGTGCCAATGTTATTGTCATTCAGCAGTGTCTGGCGTTTCAAATCGGAAAATAACAAACCTAGTGGATCGTTGCTCGAAACCTTGCCAAGCTGCATCGCATGAATGCTCTCCTCAGTACTTCTGTCTGGCTCGATGAGTTCCCACTTCTGCAGCTGCAATGGCTCGCGTTCCTCCATCTCCAGCGCGGAGTACTCCGACACCATCAGGCCAGTCGCAAATGAACTCTACCAGGGAGAACGGAACTGATCTTCAGCAATAGTTTCGGATGTGTCCACCATAGAAAATGGGGAAAGCAACTGTTGTTTGCGCTCATGTGTTAATGTTTCTAAACTGCAATTTTTTGAGCCGATGTGCTGCCTGAATGCAGGGCTTCAAGAGCGTGCTCATGACAGTTCCATTCTTTAATTTGTTCTACGCACTGCGGCGTGCTATTTCCTGCAATCCGAAACCCCTGCGCAACAGCCTCTTTGGCCACATGGGTAAAGATTTAGCTTATATACAAGTTCGCCCTGAACCTACAGTTACACTCCTCACGCTGAGACGGTTCAGAGATACAGCCTCCCTCCTCCTCCTCCACACGTCAAACACACAACTGTTTGAAATCGCCAGGGCCCTTTGGACTTGGTCAAGTTTTCAGCGCCCACCGATGGTCTGCGCGAAATGAAGAGGTGGAAGGGGGGTTCTTGCTGGATGCCCAAAAAGGTAGATCTACCATCTGAAGCAAGGCTGTGCCTATGGCTCTACCTCACCAAAACAACTTTTGTCTACAAAACCCCTTTTCCTTTCAGGGGTTGTCTGGTCTGTGGGAGGGCGTTGCAGCTGAACTACTACTGAACCCACTTTTCAAAGCTGTCTGGGATCCTGCGCAGCAGCGGTCATGCATCTTTTACAGCCACTTTACCCGCACCGTTTCAAGGAGATGGTTGTCCCTTTGCCGCTCTCTTCTGCCCACTTCTCGTCAACCCACAACTGACCTCATCCACATGACTGCCCACAAGCTGTTGAAGCACTCCGCCTTTCTCAGTACGTTTCCCTTCACGTATGCAGAGCGAGGGTCGGGCAATTTTGAAGGGATTGCCAGAATGACTCTTCCTGCGCCGTGGCCGGCAAGGTCCTCGGTTCTGGAAAGCCTTCTTTCCCTTGCGCTTCCGACTCGTAACCCACTGCCACATCGCAGACATGTAGGTGGTGACATTGCAGGCTTGGCTCTGCCCTTAGGATCTGCTCCCTTTGATGGTGGCTTGGTGTACTTGTACACGCTTTTGCCTTTTGCCGCCTTTCTTCCCTTTTGATTTGCCCCCTTTTGAACCCTTCCGCATTGATGAGGCGGTTGAAGGGCCTTGATCTTGGAGCGCAACAACAGGAAGAAAACCACCGGACATTCTTGGAAACGCCGTCTAGCGTCCAAGTAGGTGGCAAAGGCAGGATCATACTCTTCCACATCATAGGGTTCTTCTTCAAACTCCTCCATCTCCATGTAATAGGCGGCTGAGGTGTCAAACTCCTCCCATAGACCTTGGAGAAGGTGGTCTTGTAGTCCTGCCCCAGGATGGCAAACATGGCGGCTTGCGCTTTGTTGCTTAAACGTGAAATGTGGGGTTTCGCCCGTAAATGCCAGCCTTTGACTGCAGTGGGGAGGTGGACACCACGCTTCTCTATGCGTCTCATCTTTTCGTCCAGCTGTGCAAAGAACTGGAGGAGTGTTTGACCTGAACGGCGGCCAGCAGTGTCAAAGAATGACATCTCCACCTTCGAGACATACTGGAACGCCGTGTCAAGCTGCGCCATGTTCGTGAGTCGGGATCTTCCGCCTCGACAATGCGCCAAGCCGGTCCCATCAGGGAGCCCAACAAGTTGAGAACAGCCTCGCCACGGCGCTTTGCCAGAACCATCTTGTGATGGTAAATCGTGATGCTCTTCCTCCACTCTTTGTAGCTTGAAGCAAAGCCATCAAAGAGTGGGGTGTAGTTGTCCTTGAAGGTGGCCACATCGAGGTCACGATCCTTCTTGTCAGCGCTGCCTGATGCCATTGTTGAAGGTCTCGTCAAGAATCAACAGGCTCTCAGGGAGCACAGCAAGTGATCTCACCCGTGGACACGGCAAGGAAATAGGTCAGATCTGGGCCCGGTAGTTGTGCTCGACCTTCTGGTCGTAGAGTTCCGCATGGTTGTAGATGAAGTTGGAGCGGTGTGGAGCTCAACTGCGCAGCTGGTAGCGTGGAGCTGGAGCGGCGTGCTCCGCTACCAATGTCATTTTAAAGGAACAAAGGTAGTCCAAGGAGTGGTGCATGAGACACTCGAAGTTCTCAAACACGCAGTGCTGCCGCGAAAGCGCACCTTTCACCAAGTCGCCATGAGCTCAGCGTGCACGGTTGGTCTGCCGGCTTGCCCTTCAAGCATTGGGCCAAGACAAAAGTGGAATGACCATCTCGGTCTGTGACACATAAAGTGTGGTTCGAATCTCATATTCGACACATCCAAGTTCACCAATTCGGACCATTTTGTCACAGACTCCAATAACTCACTTCATTCGCAAATTTAGAACTTCGGCCTAGCCGCTTAGCCTGCCTTCTAATACAGATTATGATTGAGGCTCAGGATTATTGTAGATGTTGTTCTTTTGATGTCCACTTGTGTTTAGCCCTCTTGTGCAGACCATAGGTGGGTCCTTTGCAGACCATAGGTGGGCGCTGAAAGCTTGATTAAGTCCAAAGGACCCTCATGCTGTTGAAAAGGTGTGTGTTTGACCGTGCGGAGTAGGTGGAAGACCGTATCTCGGAACCGTAGGTTCGACCGTGTGACTAAAAAGGCTATTGTGTAAACGACTACGTTTGCTGGATAAAGCTGGAGGCGTTCTTGTTGGGCTTGCGTTGGGTTTACCCTGCAGTGCTGCCGAGAACCTGGTTAATTTTCTTCAAGCTTGGCAATGTGACAAAGGAAAGAATGATATACAACAACAAACGAGCTGGTCCAGGTGTAAAAACTGCTAGACATGACCCACCACTGACAACCCCTAGCAACCCAGTGCTCTGAGAAGTCGGTAGTCAGACATTCTATACAGCAACAAAACATGAATTACCTCAGGCTGCGCGCACTCGGTGCTACCTAGAAATGCAGATCAAATGCACTGGTCCGGTCCAGTGTCGCTTTTTTCCAGGGAGCTTGGCAAATATTGAATAGCTTTCCCTTGGCAGGGAAATGAAGCACAGTTCTAACTACTTGTGTCTATGCAGTTTAAGTCGAGAGTGGCACAAAAGTCTCGCTGAAAAATGTCCACAAAGATTGCCCTCCATTCTCGTTGGAAGAAAAACATCAAGGACCATTCAATTGAAGGATCTCCGTTTGCAGTGCCTCTCCATGGCTTTGACCTCAGCCTTGTCACCACTGACTCGGCGGTCACTGATTCTTCGCAACGTCTAGATCATTGGCACATGTAAAGTCTCAAAGCCTTCTCTCCTCTTCTGACGCAGCATCTCGGGGTCAATGTGGGGGATGGTCAAATTGAGCTCATCCCAAAAGACATTGCACTTAACCATATGGGTTTGGGTTGGTGTCCCCATGTTCATCCCCCAAGCTCATCAAAAGGTAAGAAAGCTTCAAAAATGCAGTGAATTCAGAAGTTGCATTGGCCGGACTCAGCTGTGTCAGCTGAATGCACCTTGGGATGCAACAACCGAGGCCATTGCAAGAGGCAAACTAGGTGGAGGACTGGAGGACTGAAACCAGGGCAGCTGCCCAGAAGCTCAACGCAAAAGGCCTCAGAGCAGCATATGTTTAGTCACAAGCACTTCCAGAATCATCCACCATGTCCCAAGGAACTGAGTTTCACGCCTGAAGCTTTTCCCACGGCCACTCCGCCGCAAGCGCTGCCCTCTCTTTTTCGCGCATTTCCATAATTGTACTCCGCGCTGTTTTCAGTGCGATCGGCTTGTCGCTGGAAGGTTCATCCTCGACGAAACAGGTTTGAGTGCGTAAGAATACAAAAATGACATCCTCAAGTATGGGCACAGAAATCAAAGTCCTACGTCAGCTCTTTAAACAAAAAATAATCACATTCTGCTCTTTCGTGCTCTACTGACAGTCCATAGAGCTCTTTGACTCTGACTTCCATCGGCTTCCTGAAGATACATCAGTGAGAAAAGGATTTCTTTACAAGAAACAGAAACTGTCATGCCTCCTTGCCCTTGGCATCGAAAAATGACCTGATTGGTGCAACGCAATCTTCTTGCTCAAAGGTGCAAAGTGGTCATGTTTCCCACGCAGGGAACTCAGGTGTGGGTGTGTGTGTGTGTACAGCAGCTTGCGGTAAAATGCTTTGGCTGGCAGTCCCAAACAGTGTTAAAGACAATGAGACACGTGTGCAACTCTACAACCGCTACGATACATTTCATCAGTTTCCTGTTTATGAGTCTTTCCCCTTTCTTTCTGATGCGTCTCACGGCCTCCATGAGCTTCTGGTAGTACCAGTTCCGATCAGATTGCACCTGCTCAACATGTTCCTCGGAGTACCCGGCCTGGCAAAACGGTGTAGCAGTGTAGCACGAGTTAAATACGGGATGGATCACCAAGACCTCGGGAAGGACAGCAAAACCTCTTTGTTTCAGCTTCAGTCCAAATGGAACACCTTTTCAAAACTCAGATCTCAGAATCTATGCAGCATGCAAGCCCACATCCTTGGCCTCCCATTGTTGAGTGCCAGCACCCAGGGCAGGTTGCAAAACATCTATTGGAGCAAGCTTGGCCTTTCAGGCGTGTTGATCACTTCCATCAGCGTCCACTGTCAATTACAGTAAATGGACTCCAACCTAATAGCGATGGCCTCCAACCTGGTAACCTAGTCGCAATGGCCTCCAACCTAGGCCTCCAACCTAATATGGGAGGAGGTCTGTCAATTAAATCTATAGAAACATTGTCCCGTCCTGGAGTGCTTTCAGTCCCTTCCTGATCTCCTGCACAAGATTCCGATTGCAGCATACTGAAGGACTGGCTAAAGGTAAAGCAAAAAATGTGTTTTTCAGCATCATTGCCAGTCTAGAGTCTAGCACCTCAGGGATTTCCGGCACTTCGGACAGCTCTTTGATGATCTCGACGGCCATCCTAGCTGCAACTACAGATTTGTCACGTAGAAATTAACTCTCGAACCTGCTCGTTTCCATGGTTTACCTGCTATTCACTTCACGAAATCAAGTTTGCATCAGAGCTTAGATCTGAAGCAAAAAATAGATCGCGCGGAGCCAGGTCTGCCAAATCTAACTAGAACTTGCATTGTGTTGGGTGCAAACATACAGTTTCCAGCGTTGTGCGTAGCAAGCGGGATCTCAAAGGAAATGAGTGGTACGGGCACTTGAATTGAACAAGGCTTGAGATTAGCATCTTCACCCAAGTGGCGTGCGCTCGGGTGCTCGTCCAACCTTTTAGACCGATGCTCTTTGGATCATCCAAAAGAAGCAGCACTCAAGGCTGCAGCGTTGCTGATAGGGCTGGCCACCACAATAACACAAGTAGTCCAATTTGGTTGCGCAATGGCCATAGTGCAAGAAAATGATAGCATCAGCAGCATCACCAAGGACGATTCTCAAATATCGTTGGGACAAGGGTTTCTTGTCTTTGTTTTCTTTGCATAATGTGGGTTTCCAAGTTGGAGAGGACCGTGAAGTATATCCATACATTTTAATTCACGGTCTTGACTCACTCGAAAGGTTGGAGCAGAGACACTGGAAAGGTTGGAGCTAGCACTCTGAGATGCAAACTCGCAGATCTGGTCTCTGTCGGTCAAATTCACGTTAAGGAGGCGATTCATTTGGTGGGCCTCCAAGAGTAGAATGTTGAACATTGAGATGCAGAATGTCCAACTGGCACAGCCATCTGAGGCTGAGAGCTACACGTGTTTCAGGCCATCTTCCAAGAATGTCACCTCCGACTTCCGCGCAGACGGCACGCCTGCCCAAGACAAAGAAGCAAAAAGCTCTTTCACCCACAATATATTCCATGCTCTGAGAAGATTTGGTGAATGCCAAGAAAATCAGCCTTCGCCATTCATGCTGCTACCTTGTCCTGCCCAAGTAGGAGGGTGTAAGTTGCAAGAGCTCCGAAATGATCCAAAATTCTGGAACGGACTACTGTAATGCAGCAACACTTCTAGGACTGACGGACTGTTCAAGCAAAATGACAAATTCACGGACTGACTCGAAACGAACTGCAGTTGCTGTCACTGCTTCCAAGCTTTGCACAGGCCTGGTAGCACAATCTGCTAAGGCCTCTAGGAGCTTCCTTCGTCTTTCCTTCAGCAGCTGCCTTGATTGCTATTTTGGCTGTAGACTCTCCTTCCTGCTTTAGTCTTCGGATGACTCTTGACTAGCCAAATTGTGCAGTCTGTACATCTTGTTTGATCCGCCTTGGTTTGCAGGACAGCACGCAAACGGAAAAATGCTCCAATGGCTAAGTCAGGTGAAAGAAACAGCAAGCTGCACGGCATTCCAGCAACACTTCTTTTCTCTGAGCATTGCAAGTATGTCTTGCTCCCCTACAGCTTTGGCGCAAACAATCCTGTGAACATCCTGAAGCTGCAAAGATCTTAGGTTTGTTCATGGCTCCATGGCCCACTTGAGGCCCCTGAATTCTGGCTTTCATGGGCTGTTGCCATGCCTCCTGCTTGAGAACACAGCACGGGGCCAAGATGTGGCATCGGGAGCTATGCAGGCTGAGAACTGAAGAATCGGACGAACACTTCCTTTCACGAGAACGTCCTCTGAGTAGGGCTTATCATGGTTTGACACTGGCTACATCTTTGCCAACTCTGCACCAGCTAATTTGCCCTCAGCCGCAGGAAGCCGAAGGCTGAGGCTTAGAGAGGCTGTGGAGCTTTTTGAAACCCAAGCAATAGTGGAAAAATTGGTTGGAACAACTGCCCAACACTTGTGGGCCGCAAATTGTCAAAGCAATCCCTTACCCCCCTTCCGCCAATCTCACAGCCGTCTTCGCAGCCATCTTCACCGTCTGCTCTTTCAGATCGGTGTTGGATTGCGAACATTTATGATGGTTCACCCAAGGCAGGTCTTGCGTTGAGCAAGGCTGCTCTATTGCTGCATTGCTGCCTCATCTCGCTCAAATGTCCTCCACCTGAGTTCCGTCCTGCTCAGCCTTGCCATCCTGGCTTCATGACTTAGGCTACGCCCCACTAAACACTGGAACATCCACCCTCTCAGAATCAAAACGGTAGAGGCAAAGAGACTTCAAAACCCGAAAGGTGTGATCACCTTTTTCAAAATGGTCCAAAAGCCAACAATTTGTGAGTTGCTTAAGAGCAGGTGTCCAAAGCAAGGCCAGGCCCACGCCAGGCAAGTCATTCTGCCACAGCGCCAGATTGTCTCGCAGGAGCTGCATAATAGCCGCACTGTCTTTGTACCTCTTGTCAGCGCCACTGCAGTGTTCAATGCAATTAAAAAGGCAAGTCTTCGCAAGGCCACAATACAATCACTGCCAAACAAGCTGAAAAGAACAACGATGGTTTTTTACAACCTTGTTGTGTGCAGACAGCAAGAAAAAATCCGTGGGTCCAAGAGGTCAAAAGTGATCTCAGTTCAGCGCTGCTCCGCATCCAAAGAGTCGAGATCACCCATCGCATTCTCGAAGGCTTCCTGACGCATCGAAGTTGTAGCAATCCGGAGCTGTAGCAGCAATCTCTGTGTGAGTGTGTGTGTGTGTGTCTGTATTTAGAACATGGTCTACCCCTCGTCCTTAGTACATATCCTTACTTATCCTTGTGGGGTCTCCTCATTCTGATGCACACAAGAAAAGGTCTGAGATATGAGTGAAACCATTTCTTGAGTGATTACACGTCATCACCAGAACACGCACACACGCACACACAAGAACGTGTCCCGATACAAACATCGGTGCATATGTCATGTGCTTTGGGTGCCACAGCGGCAAACACAATCGCTTTACCAAGCACCTTTATGCTTCTCAACAAAACGACATGTGCGGTTGACAACAGCATTTCTTTAGGCCTGCCTTCGCCAACTGGCACGCCTTGTCGGTGTACTTGTAGACCTGTCACGAAGTGCGGTGGAAAGATTTGGCAACTTGAAAGGTACGCCTCGTAGTAGAAAACAGAGAAATTCAACGCCAATCCCAAGCGAATCGGGTGTGTTGGCCTCGCAAATTGGGCAGAGTGTTCCAATTGAATGACAATTATATGTATAGATATATGTGTTCTTTTAACCATGCAAAATGGAGATGGGCACTCTGTGGAGACTGCAAGTGTGTGTGCAAGTCATGTTGACAGGGAGCCGACGGCAGAGGCACAGCAAGCTCCTCGGCCAAAAAACAGAAGCTCAGCGAACGGACAAACTCAACTTCGCTGAGTCCTAAGGAAGGTGTTGTTTTGTCGAAGAATTGAAGGAGAGGGTAAGGCTGCAATGCGGGTCTCCTTCTTGTATCTTCTTGTGTTGCAAAGCAGTTAGTGTGCGTCATATTCTGTTGGAAGAAAGTAGAAAGAAACATCAACCAACTGATCCCATGACAAATCTTTAGGAGACAATGGAGAGACCATCCGGTTGGTCTTGCTTGCTACCAAGAAGCATTGGCCGTCTGGTAGGACTCATGTGCCGCACCGGCATATTGATCTGGAAATCAACGAACGCTTCGATTTACGAAGATGACATGGGTGTGGCTCTAAATCCTGGGACCACTCCCTGGTTTACCACCAAAAATGAACTGAATGCACCTTGCCAGGCTCAAATAATCCCCTGGTTTGGGAGGGTCTGACTCACAACTAGATTTGACAAAAACAAGGCGTCCAGCCTCTCTGAATTCCATCGGTGAACTCTGCAAGATAGCCTGGATCGTGTCAAGAACTGCTCAAGCTTCACCCAATTCAAGATTCCAGGTGCGCATTGGCTCATTGCTGTAGGCTCTTCACGGTAGTAATCACCCCTCATCTTGAGGTAGAAAACCTCCAATCATCCAAGGTGGCGTGAAACAGTTGGCATTATACAGTGTACAATGAAGATTTTTTTAGAGCATTGGTCTGCCGCCTTTGCTTCGCTGGACACCGCTTTCTCCACCAGATCTATCGAAAGCAAAAAGGAAAGCTTTGTGGTTTCATGCTCTTGTCCTCAACACAAAAATATGACAAAGGAAAAGCCTGAGTCCAGAATCTTTATGATATCGTTGCACCTCATTCGCTCTGAGACTGCTTCCAGACGATTCAACCATATCTCCAGGCGCGAAGAACACTTGCGAGGACGCGACTTCTCATTCAGCTCATCCTCAACTCGGCGCCTGCAGCGACTCCGTAAATGAGTGGTGTCAGAATGTAACTTGTACCTTCTCTTTATCCTGTACTTTTGGCATTGCTAAAATACTGTTTTCATGAGTAGGCTTACTATGGTGGTCTTTAGTGGGCCTTGGGTGGCTCAATAGTTCAACCCTCGCCTGTAAGCGGCAATCTCAGCCATTGCATGGTCAGATGCCTGAAGTCGAGGTAGCGGTCAAAGCCCAATGTATGGTGGTTGATCGAGTCAACCGGCTCGGGTTGCTGATGCGGAACTCTCTGAGTCTCCAGGCCATCTTTTGCATGTAGGTGTGTATCGCTCTCCAGGCTTGTCTGCCAAGAGAATACGAGCAAAGGCACCAAAAGAAGCGGAGGGATTAAAAATGCCGGGAAAAGCGTTCCACGTCATCAACAAACAAAGGTTTACACAGTACTCTTCTGCGGTCACACCTACTTCTGAGAGTTGTAGGAACCACTGGAATCTTAAGAAGAGTACTAATTTACCAAGTCTGGACTTTGGACGTGGTGAATTTCTCTCCCAAAAATTGCTGCAATGCGTACGATTGTTGCCAGTTTCCTATGATGGCATCAACAGCTCATGGAGCACGGCCTTCGGGCACCCACTGAGTTCTTGTAGGCCACCGACAGCAAGTTGCGCTCATCGAGGCCTTGACAAGAAATGAGGTCAGTCCGAGTCCCAGAGAACCTCGCACGTTGTTTGTCTTTGCTTCTGATTCTCCCAAATCTGAGGTCTCGCAGTTTCACCGGGTATGTTGTGCACTGGATCTTTCTTCAGGCTTTGCGAATCTTACCCTTGGTCTTTTGGGATCCAGGCTGAGCTCCTGCGGAACAAGCGCCACCCTCCTCATAAACTCAACCTGACAATGACTGAAGACACGTCATACAAACAAGCTTGCCCAAAAGCCGTTGTGGAAGACTTCCAGAAAAGGAGGCCCGGGTGTCTGAGACTCGGAACCATGTCCTCATAGCGCTCGGCCTTACATCATAACACTCAGTCCCATCGAAATGTTGTCGCAATCTGCTTGGGGCAGCCTGCTCCGCAAGTCTGGCCATGAAAACATTTTGATCCCGAACTGACCTCATGCAGCACGCAGAATTCCTCCACTATAGAGATAGAGATAGATAGATAGATAGATAGATAGATAATGAAAGAAAGAAAGAAAGAAAGAAAGATAGATAGATAGATAGATAAAGAGAGAGAGAAAAAAAAAATAGAAAACAAAATTAAAGTCAATGCAACCAAGCGGCATTTCTGACCTGATTTCAAGCTTGTTTTACGAATGAGAATGGGAAAGGAACTCCCAGGGTTTGCAGAAAAAACGCATGGTCTGATCCAAATGCATGGATTGAGACGGACAAAACTGGTTCTAAGAATGCAACATGGCTGCAAACACCCACACCTGATGCCTGCAATCAATTACGAAAGTTCAAGCGGTGGAATCTGTTTGGAATTGAATAGTGTAAACTGCAAGAACTGGCCTCAATGTGGTGGCCGGCTGTCAGATTCTATGTGCACACGAGTGCTTTGAGAAACGGCGGCATGCAACAACAAAATCCATCGTTGCCTGACCGCTTGAACCCCCAGCGCTCACAGGAATCCCAAACCTCATTCCACATTGGAATGCAACACTGACTTCGTTCCCGGCTCATATCGGTTTCACCGAGACGGCCAGTTGCAAAGAAAACGGGAGGTGAGAGAAGTGAAATCGGGAAACACAGCGTGCAGGGTGAAACAAATAATGGAAATGTCAATGTCAAATAAAGCAAAACAAGGTTTTCTTGCCATAGTGAACAACCAAAGATGGCTCCGGAACACTGGCCTCTAAACAGGCCGCATAACATCTCCCCACCTTTTTGCTCAGTCATCCACACATAAAACAGGTTCACGGCCGATATCCACCACAAACAGTCCAGCAGAACTTGTCCAAACCAGCATGCACCAAGCGTGCAAGACCGCAATCAGACCTCAAAAATTACAATTGATTTCCAAGCTTGGCACCACGAACTCTGCATGGCAAACGTCTTCCAACAATTTTCAAATCCACTGAAAACCTTTGCTGGTTTCCAAAACTGGTTGCTCCTCCAAGAAGAAAAACACAAAAAAACTGCAGATGAAAACCTTTGACTGGATGCAAAGAAGCTTGAGAGTCTTGTCATACATCACCACCTGTGCGAGTGCTATGGATTCTCTCTCAATGATCCACCACTTCTGCGCTGCGAACAACTGCATCCCAAGCGGACTGCCCTCCTTGCAAAGCTGGCGATGGTGCCCTCACCTTATGGAGGCATCCCTAGTGGAGCCCACGTAGCACATCCGATGCCGCCACAGGTGCGTATTAGTCGCAAGCGCATCTACAAAGCTGCTGGCACTCAGGACCAGGTTTTGCTTGAAGAACGGCTTGCCAAACGCGCGCGAACGACGAACCAGGCGAAGAGGCGGCCTTTCCTGTGATTTGACCTGGCCTGGCACTGATAGCAGGTGTGGCTACTCGTTGGTTTCATCTATGCAGCTTTTTACTGCTTTTTACTGCCTTTTAGTGACCTACCAGAAGCTCCTGCTTGCTGCACTCCTCGTTAGGTTTTGGCTCAAGGTAACTAGTCAAGTGGTCTAATGCTTAGGCAGCATGGCCGCTGCCCCTGAAAGCTTGAGTACACACCAGACACACAACCGCCCTTTCCTCCCTATCCAGCAAGACACACCTCCTTGGTGTGGTACTGCAGAGTGCATCCAAGAAAGCACCGGAGCAATCGATTTGTCAGTGCACCTTCGTGAGATTGCCACGAAGCGACACAGACTGTACTTTCTAGCCTGCACTATACCTTATGATAAGCAGCATTTTCATCTACGCATTGCGGGCGTGCTCCCAGCCAGAAATAAGATGGTGGCCCTCCTCTGCCCAGTTGACCCGCCGGTTTATCGCCTCATCCAAGTACCAAGTGCCTTTCAGCTCATATATGCCAAACTAAGAGATGGAACCATTGTGCACCCTCTCTCCCAAGAGAAAGGACAGCTACACATCACGCTCAGTGGCATCCTGATCTCTGGTAGCACAGCCTGCGCTAGATACTTGGTTCACCACCACTTGGTTGATCTCGGGCTTGCTGGTCCAACTGCCCCTATCCTACAGTGGTCTAGTTTCGTACGAGAGCCTGTCACTTACCTCCCTGTTCTTCTTTTCCATGTGCTTACAGCGCTTCCGGCTGAACTGCTTGCTGTCCAGTGTCCGCCAACTAGCTGGGCCTTTGAGGCCTCCCCAGTTATGACCTTGGCAGAATGGGAAGCTTACCCACGTCTACTGTCTACCTCTCACCCATCAAGGGAGCAGAGGGCCTAGAGAATAGATTCATGCGGTATCTCCCACCTTGGCGCGTCCAGCATCTCTTGGAGTCCCCCTCGTGGCCCGGCTCGTTGGCCCGCGTGCTGCGATCTGTGTTTCGGGTGCTGGGAAGAGCACCGTGCCCCCTCGATGCAGTGTCGCAGTCTCTATCTCAAGAAGTGACCTGTCCACTTGGTCAAAGCACTCTTTGCTCGACGGAGGGCGCTCACAGCTCGCACAGCAGCAGCACAGAGTTGCGAGCACCCGACTCGAACTGGCGATCACTGCACACTCCAGCCAAGTGGTTCCTAGCCAGACACGGACTCTCGTCAATTCGTTTGTACACTGATGCAGGAGTCAATAGTAACGCACCACGGTGGCAGCGACCCACTGTGTCTCTCAAAGGGTGTGTCCCCAAAGGATGTGTCCTTTAGTCTCAGCCTGGTGATTTAGTGACGTAACTGTGTAGGAGTGATGCCTGACGATGCCGGTAGAAGTGTACAAACTGTTAATAGGTGTGTTTTCCTGCCTTTTCTGAGGCCATGCCGTCCGTTCTCACTTATTCCTTTCCAGTCCAAGTGGTACGGTAGGTCGAAGCCAACTGGATTTCGTGTCACTGTACTTCTGTTACTATTTTGAAGTGCGCAAGCTGCTTTGGCTCAAGGTGCCACCGGCCGTTTTGCTGCCCCGCTGTGTAACCTTCCCTACTCCACAGCGCCAACTGAGCACAGTTCACTGGAGCTAGCACCTTAGTGCTGGTCTCTGGTGTACTCTATGGCAAAAGATCGGTCAAGTGGTTCCCTGATGATCGGCTCGCACGGAATCCAGTTCACTCCTTTTGCCGAAGAAATCTGCCTGCAGGAAAATTTTGAAGTCAGCCTGGTACGACTCCCAGCCACAGTACACGAAATTACTTTTCCATTATGCCTGGTTGTTGCATGCGTTGCACGTAATGCCTCAGTGCGACCGCGCACAGGTGGTATTCCGGAATGGCCACTCCAACAAGTGCCACGAGCCATGGCACAGAGTTCGGTCGACATGCCAAGTGGCCAGATCGTCTACCCTTTCGCTGATTCGCCTCACATCACTAAGGAGGGTTTTATTCTCCATGGCTCCAACCCAGAGAATGGAGCTCGGGTCTACCGTCTACTTCTGCAACGAGAAATAGTTAGCAATGTGGCGCATGGAGTAACTGACCAACTGACGTGGACACAGGATTCTAGAAAGCCTATCCAAGTTTTCAATTTCAACTCTCTATGCCACCTCGCGCACCGCCCAATACTGCCCCCGGCCAAGCGTAAAGCAGCAATGTGGCTCACAGAGCAACCCGACTCTCCACCTGTTTATCGACCACCACCAGCTTTCCAGGTATTTCAACCGCTTCCAGCAGGGCAGCTTGGTGTTTACGCTTCTCAAGCCTCTTTCACAAACCAAACTGTTCAGGAGGAACCGATGAGTCCGACGAGTGGAGCTTTAGATCAACACCTACTCTATTGGGGGTGAAGGACCTCATTGCCTTAGCAGAGAGCCAGTTTCGTTGGCCTGACTTGGTAGGGCATGGTGCTGACCCTGACCTTGCCACCAGTACGGTGGGGATGCTGCTTTTCACAGAGGCGCATCTCGAATACAATGCTGGCTTAGTCATCTCCATTGGTAGCCCAAACCGCCCTAGTCCGGTTGAAGCAACCGCCACGGCAGAGAACCTAGCTGAAGAGCTCGAGGATTACCGCCAACAGCTCCTAGCCATGGCGGCCCCTCCTGAATGTCCAACTGATGCCTCACAAGGTGGGTCCCTTTTCACACCGCTCATTGGTGTTCCCATGGAAAACTCACTCGACCTTGCAGTTGTTTGGGCATTGTATGGCACCTATATGTGTTATCAATTCTGGCCGATGCCAAGTAGTGGGCAAGGGGGCTGCAGTGATCATCAGAAACCAGCGGCCGTCAAGTGGCCTAAACGGGCTCATCCAGGAGCCCTCACCAAAGCAGGACAAGAACGCACACCTTGGCTCACTAGCTGGGCCCGAGCCACTTTTGAACAAGGCTGTTTGTCAGTGTTGCCTCACCTGGAAGGACCGTGCAAAGCAATTTCCCTTCCTGGAGAGCATCTTTTTCAGGCGAGTCGAATAGCGCCAAACCGTATGCGGCCGATCATCTTCCATGCCTTCGGCAAAGCAAAACTAGATGCACCTGCCCAGCTGGCTCGACTTGCACGCCAAGGGTGGGAAACCCTTCCCATCGCGCTTTTAGGTATGCCGCATTATCCCGCGGCGTGGTCCCTGGAGGCGTGGAGGCCGATCGGCGGGTGTTGCTTTACAGGAGGAGCTAGTGCGCTCACCGGGAATATTTTGTCTATTGATGCAATGGCACGCCATCGCCGTTCCAGCGACGGCACTCTTCCAAGATGCGAGAAAAGAAGAGGACACTGACATCGAATCAGCTCGCACCGTGTCGGAGCCAGATCAGGACTTCCTAGAACGCTCGCTCTTGGCAGCCGCCACTGACCAGAACTCCCGTGAGTCCGGGTCCGGTCTGCCAGAGGGATTGATGGCTGAGGCACAGGCGGGTCTGAAAAATAGCCATCGTCCCAACAATCCGCAGCTGACCACTCCGCCCCTTTTTGCGCCATGGCAAGAAATTGCAAAGCAACTAGAGATTCCGGTAGAGCATGAAGCTCATACTGAGGACCTTCGAGCTATGTTCCAAACAGCCATAGGAATCCTCCCTACAGAACACCAACGAGACTTTCATCGGTTGCAAGGCATAGCTTTCAGCCAAATCCCCCAGGGAAGGGTACCGGTTGAAACGGCTGCCCCAATAGTTCTGACCTCCATATATGAGACACATCCTTGGGTCCCATATTGGGAATCCATGCTCTGGCACATGGCACAGTCCTATCGCTTCTGGCTTGCTGCCCCTGAATCGCGCCCACCTAGTAGAATCCAGATTAACTGTGGTGGCCTTGCCCAACCACTCCGGCATTTCACTGTACACACCCACGAGTGAATGGGACGTGTGTTTATGGCCCCTCCCTGACACCCGCAGATCGATACAGTGGGCAGGTCACACTGAGGTAGCTGCAGGTCATACGACAAGTCTGCGTGAGCTCGCGATGTTAATGTCACACACTACTGACCCCTGTGAGTGCTGGGAAGAATTAGGCTATGGCCGCACAGCCACCCTGTATCGCAGAACTCAAGTTGTCCTGGAAGCCTCCAGGCAGCTGCCAGCCCATCGCCGAGTACCACATGCTGCCTTTCTGAGCGGACTGTGGTGGAAGCTATTGTCACTTCAGCCTGCGCGTATCCTTATGTGTCTACCATTCTTGTCACGCATTGGCAACAGTACGAATGCAGCTGGGCTTTATGCCCCCTCCGAGTTTCATGTAGAAGGGTTTAGTGCCGGCAGTTACACTGGAGCT